GGGCAGCATGTGCAAGGTCCGAGGCTTGATCCTCAGCACCACACACACGCTGAAACATCAGACTTGTGTGTCTAAAGTCATAACTATATTTTAGCTATGAAAATATATGCAAGTAACTAAATTATGCTTGTTGAGAAGACCATAGAAGATGACCAATTTCTACTTTAAGGGCCAAATGAAATGCCTGTGGCCCCAAAAATGCTAAGGTAAATAGGAAACTGCTTATGTATATTTATGGGAACTGATCTTTCTACTAAGACCAGGGATTCAGTAGTATCACAGTTAGTTCCAAGTGACATCTTTGTCACCCAAAACCACTATTCCTCCATCACATGCACGTCTCTTCCAGCAGCAGCTACAGAAAGAGCACATGTTGCAAGGCTGTGAAATGTTAGAGCTTTGAGGACACAGGGCAGCACAAGCACACACAACAGACATTAACGCACAACGCAGATGTGCACGTTCAGTTAAAAGCCAGCTCTAGCAGGGCCTGTGTAGGGCAGGCCACCATGCTGCTCACTGAGGTGAGGGCAACATGTGTACCGAGGACAGTGTGTGAGCCAGGGTGAAATTCAAGGACCAACACACGTGAATCTGAAACATTTTATTTTGGCAGTTAATGCTGTTAATTAGGAGCAAATTAGCGTTTCTAATATTCTTTTGAAGGTGTCTTTGATGTGTGCCTATTGATATTATTATGACAAACACTGTAAGAGTGGAGTGAGCACCCCAAAAATAATCTTCACTACAATTTTTTTGAGAAGGGCTGTGTGTGGTCTCACGGAATCCAGATGTCCTTCCCTGTACCTGCTGAACTCCAGCACTCGGCTTCTCAGGAAACAGATCTGATGTGAGGTGCTGGGGATCAAGCCCAGGGCCTGGTACATGCTAAGCAAGCAGTGTACCACTGAGGTACACCCTAGCTCAGACTTGATGTTTTAATTTGAATGACTTTTTATTTCAATGCCTATCTCCTAACCGTCCAAACACAGAAGAGTCATGACTGAGAAAGTTATGTCTCACACTTTGATTCATTAATTTACATGTCCAGCAAAGAACATTTTCATTTCTATTAAAAACACATCAGCTTGTTCAAATTCTGGGAGAAATATATCAGGCCTGATATTTTTGGAGGTGGTCCTCCTTGAAGTTCCAAGGACTGCATGGGAGAGATGGTAGGGCTGGTTCTTAACGTTTGTAACTCAACAGAGAAAAGCCAGCTGACCAACCAGCCTCAGAATGGAGAGCTTGAAAGCACCTAGAAACCCTGCCTACTCATAGTTCCTAATTTAAACAGAGGGTAGAACCACACAGGAAAGGGGACAGTGCCAGCTGGTTACAAGAATGCGTTTACAGAGAATGATTCCTCTCTATGACTTTTGCATATTTCTCTTTATAGTTCATGTAATTTCTGTTTCTATGATTCACTGTTGCTGTTAGAATAATTCATGCATGAATAGTCACAAGAGCTTTAGCTCATGAATTAAACCCTTTGGCACCATAAAAAGAAAATGAATTAACAACATCAGTATATCAGTATTAAAATATTAAGTTGTATGGGGACATGAATGCACATATATGTATATATACACACACACATTTAAGGGGTTGCTGTATTAGTGTGTGTATAAACGTGTCCCGGTGTGCTTACCTATGCTTGCATGAACAAAAGCCAAAAATGTCAAGTGTTTTTCTCTATTGCTCTCTGCCTTAGTCTTTTGAGACAGGATCTCTCAATGAACCTGAAGATTGCTGTTTCAGCTAGACTGGATAGCCACTGAATCCACTTAACTGCAACCCCCTAATACTGGGGTTACAGTCATTCGTGCCCATGACCAGCTTTTTTACATGGTTACTGAGAATTCAAATTCAGGTCCTCATGCTTACAAAGTAAGCTGTTTTTCTAGGGCCCCTTTTTTATGTTTTTGATTTTTTTTTGTAAGATAGGGTCTCATGTACTTCATGTTGGCCTCAAATTCACTATGAAGCCAAGAATGATCTTGAAATACCTATCCTCTATCTCTGCCTCCCAAGTGATGGGATTACAGATATCCCTAGCATACCTGGCAATTCCCTGAATAAGATCAATTATTCTAACTCTAAAATAAAACATAAGTAGGGAATTGTAGCATGTGCCTATAGTTCTAAATGCTTGGAAAGATGAAGTGGGAGAACAACCTGAGCTCAAAACAAAACACTCCCAAACCATTCAAAGCACGGAAATTAAAAAGGAAAAAAAAAAAAAAAAAAAACAAAACACATACACACATTTAAAAATATAATAGGACTAAAGATTACCAAGGGGTTAAATAAAATCCCACTTTGTTTTGCTCAGCTATCAGCCCAAATGTATAGGATTCCTTTGAATACCCACACACACAGAAAGAGAATATGAACTGCTAGCCCCATCTTATAGTCATGCTGCCTTATGGATGCTCTTGTCTTCTCTCAGCTGTGCTTGGAAGACCTCATCAGAGAATCCTCTGCAACTTCTCTGGCTGTGTCTCCTTCATGAATGAGCCTTGGGTTCTTATGAGATGTGAAAGTCAAATTGTCAAATTGTCAAACTGTCAAAGTCAAATTGAATGTCAGACAAGAACTTGTTCCACCAAGATGGAAGCACTAAGTTGCTGCAGGAGCTTTGAGGGTGTGGGCTGGTTTCCATTCTTGCTTGTATGGTAGGTTCAAGAAGGAGCTGAGTTATCAGCCAGTCATTTTCAAAAAGTCAATTCTTCAAGAAGGCAGCTTGTAGAAGTATAAAATCAAGTAAGAACCCATCAGCAGCAGTTGTCCCATGTCTTGCCAAATGCAATGACAGGCAAACACTCTGAAGCCTAATGGTTTTCAGTAACACGTCCGCTCTGATTGTCATCAGTTCTAAAATTCTGAAAGGTTTTATGATAAGTTGCTAGGTTTAGGTGGTTGTTTTAAAATGCTCAGGAAAATAAAAACCGGTATGTGAACAATTAAGGGGACAGAATGCAGCATACGGAGCCCTACACTTTCCGGACACAGGCAAAGGTTTCCTGTTACAGAAGAGTTTCATCAGGGATCCAAAACTATGCAGTAAGTGCAACACCTTGTCCAATAATCTATGTACAGTCACAATAGAAATGTAGAGCCTATTTTTTATAAAATAACAATTTTTAAAATAAATAACGCAAATAGCAAGGAATGCAAGTTATAAGTTATGGCTTTCTCTTCCCAGCATACAATGTAGAAGCAAGACAGACAATAAAAGCAGACACAAAAGCAAACAGAAGGACCATCTGACCATCTCAGTAGGGGACATCAGAAAACTTTAATTTCTTATTCTCCTTTTGACTAGAAAACAAAGGAAAACAGAACAAAAATCCTCATATTCTTTGGTATCCAGAAAGTAAAGTTATGACTATGAAATAATGGCCATGACTTTCCAAGAGAGAACTGTAGAGCTGACTACTTGAATTCTTCTCTAGCCAAACAAAGGAACAAGACATAACTGGAACAGATCTGACAGACAACCCAATAGAATCCTAGAAGCAGAACTGTGAGAAGAAGCTAACTTTTCCGATGTTGCGAAACTCATGATCATTGATCAGACTCTAAGGCTCAAAAACAAGTTAACAAGCAGCCCTTCTAATCCTGGAAAACACAAAGATTAAGGCAACTCCCATGGGCTAATATTTAGAACCCACTAAATTTGACTTTAAAACACAGTATTTCATATTTGAAAGATGTTTAGAAATTCAAAATAATTTCTGAACACTCAAAATTCTCAAAGTTAAGAATACTGACTCCCATTAGGGAAGGATATCACATTACTGAATGCCAAAATGCTGTTTATGATTTTATCTGTAAATCTCACTTAAATTTCAAAGTTTACTTATTTTATGGGTATGAGTATTTAGTCTGCATGCATGCCAGTGTATATGCACGCTTGGTACCCTCTGAGATCACAAGAAGGTATGAGATCTGGAGTTACAGTTGGTTGTGAGCCACCATGTGGTTGGCTAGAAAAAGAACCTGGGTCCTCTGAAGAGCAGCCAGTACTCTTAACTGCTGAGCCATCTCTCCAGCTCCCCACTTAAATTTTATATAATAATCAACTGTTAGTTTGCTTTAGGAGCACCTTCCTCTTAAACAAGACTGGGGTAACATTTTATGACCCACCTGATGTGGTACTGGGAACTCGTATTTATCTGAGGACGACTTGAACTCCTAATTTTCCTGCCTCTGTCTTCCAAGTGCTAGGATTATAGGTGTTCGTCACCACTGGACCCAGCAGAAACATGACTTTCCTTGTTTCTTTGTTTTTGTTTGAGGCAAGGACATAAGGTAGCCTTGGCTGGCTGAGATCCACTACTACACCATGCTGGTCTCACACTTGCTTCTATCCCTGTACCACTGTACCACGAGCCTCCGCCACCATCATACTGGACATCATTCCTGTCCAGTATGGTTGCTGGGAATTGAACTCAGGACCTCTGGAAGAACTTCAGTGCTCATAACCTCCGAGCCACCTCTTCAGCCCCCAAGGGCTCTTTGAAATAGCCTGTGAGATCGGCAATCGGGAAGCACATCCCTGGGCTGGTAGGAATGGCTCCTTTATCTGGTGGCAGTTCTCCTTCATAAAATCATCTTAGCTTTTCCTGATGTATGAAAACTAGGCAAGTGAGCATCTATGAGTGTGTTCTCTCTATGCTTTATACTAAAATCTGACAGGCACCCCTTCTTTAAGCCTATGATGACATTTGGCTAGATTTTTTTCCCTTCACAGATAAGTGAAGAGTGTTTTCTGGTCCTTAGTTGTGTAGTGATGATGGTAGTGAATGGTACAGTGATCCTAAAGAAGACATAACAAAACCTGTCACAGAGAGACACAAAAGCATTCCATCCCTCCACAACTCAGCTGCCTACCCGCGACACACACACACACACACACACCTATCAAGAGAGAAGCAAAGCACTGGCTATGTGCCCATTAGACTCCCAGAAGTGTGGCTCTTTCTGTCACCTACCTGCTGTGTCCCTGTATGTCCCCCAGCTCCTTCTGCAGCCTGGCATTTTTCTCTTCCTCCTCCAACAGCCTCCTCTTCACAGTACGCAGTTCCTGCTGAGCCTCACACTTGATATCATTGGCCACCACCACTGCAGTCTGCAGGTCTGCCTGGAACCGCCTCCATTCCTCAGTTTCCTCCTAAAATAGACAGAACCCATGTTTCCTCAAACACTGGGCAGGTGTGCTGGGGTCTCTATGCAGGCGTTCCCGGATCCTAGTCTCAGTCGCCAGGAAGGCTAAACAGAAAGACAGGGCTTTAATGGTGTCTCACTCTTTGGAGCACAAGAGGTCGCTCCTTGATGTCACAGAGCTCTTCAACTAAAAATCGAATGATTGCTTTAGTTTTATTTCCTGCCAGAGAGAAAAGAATGGCTCAGGGTAAGAGCCTGGGAATGTTCTAGGAAAAGATGGCTGGAGAATATAACAGAGTACCTTCCCAGTATTTCCAACCTAAGACAGGAATGATGTCCAGTATGATGGTGGCGGAGGCTCTTGGTCTGGGGCTTACCTTTATCTGCTTTGTGAGGGTCTTTAATTGCCGTTCTAGGTCTGACTTCTGCTCCTCCAACTTGATCACACTGCCTAAAAGGAAATGAGTTAGACAGAGTTAAAAAGTTGCAAGGCTCCTGCACAAGGTAAGCTGCAAAGCAAGGGGGAGGCTCTGGAGATAGGAGGCTTAAATCCCACCCCTCCACAGTAAGTTATACTGTGAAGACTCTGAGAACACAGCTAGATGCAGTCCTCCAAGACAGGAAACTGGATGATATATTGCTTAGTTATAACTTCAGAAGGAAGCTGTAGGCACTGCCAGGAAGCACCGTGGGAGGAAGCTTCAACAGCCACGCAACTTATACCCTTGCTTCAGGCCTCCCCGCCAGTCACACACAGCTTCCTGAGCACCCTTTACTTCTGAGATCTGGAGGGCTTAGCTGTAAGAGAGAATTCTCTGGCTATTATTCCTGTGACTTTGAAACGCGTCTCTAGCGTCACCATTCTTAACCATGGTTAACCCTGAGAGACACATGTGGCGCAGGCACGCAAGCATAAGCTCTAGGCCTATGAAGCCAGCATCTCTGAAGACAGCCAGGATCTAGACCCACGTATATTAGGACAGCTCCAAGGTGGCACAACTATCTCTCCCCAATTAAGAACAATTTCTGCCCCTCGTTCTCCCTGCCTCCAGTTCTCTCCATACAGCTATCAGAGCCATTTAAATTTAAGTATCAATATGTCAATCACCAAGCAAAAATTCCTGGTAGTTGTCTATTAAGGATATGAATTAAGTCAGGCATAGAGTGGTACAGACTTTTAATCCTAGTACCTGAGTCACAAAGTAACTCTGACTCAAAAAAAGAAAAGAAAAAAGAAAAAGAAAGGAGAAGAAAGAAAGAGGGAAGGAAAGGGGAAGAGAAGAGAAGAGAAGAGAAGAAAAAAAGAAAAGAAAAGAAGAAAAGAATAGAAAAGAAAAGAACAGAAAAGGCTATGAGTAGAATCTCCAGAGAAGGCTGGAATCCACACAGCACATTCTGCCCCAGAGAATATTCTGAATCATCTTGTGAGGCCTGGAGTTTGTGTTTAGGGTCAATGCCGCAGAGTAAGGAGCCCCCTCCTTTAATTCTTGTTGTTTTGTCTGCCTCTCTCAAGGATCTCATGGCAGGAAGGGATTAATCTAAGGCTGGATTTGAGTGTCACTGTCTTCCTGACACAAATATACGTTAATAATACCTTGATATCCCTGCCAGGAGTTTAAAAGCTTCTCAAAAAATGGTCTGTGTTATTTTCAGTCTCAGATATATTATGATATAATCACTAGATGTGGGCCTGAAATTTGCTCTGGACATTAATTATACACTTGTTTTCTTGGTCTGTCTGGGCTGACTTTTAAGGATTTAGGGACAATACAACCACATACTCCACAGTGCTAAATCACAAAGCAAAACAGAACAGTGCTTGTCTCTTGGAAGCAGACAGTGGCCAAATGTTTAATTGCATTCTCAAGGATTACTGTTGAACCTGGGTGACACTGAGTGTCAATGCATTGTCTTCTGATATTAGTCAGTTAGTCCAGGCACAATCAGCTCCCCTCACAGAAACTGCCATGCTCACTCAACTAGGGAATACTGAGCTGTTGCTTCCCAAGGAAACACAGTATTGGATTCCTATAAGTTTCTGCTCAAGTTTTTCATCATCTGAAATACTATTTGCATGAGATAGTTCTGCACATCAGAATCCTTGTAAAACAGGCCAGTTCCATAAGCATCGGGAATTTCTTCTGACTTTTAAAAATTTTTTTTTCAATACTTAATGGTTATTTTTAACATTTTTTTTTCTGTAGTTTTCTGACCTATGTAGCCTTTCTTGCCTGCAAACATCCTTTCCCTTATGCCTTATCGGTGTGTAAGGACAAGGATTTAATGTTCTTCTGGCCCTGGACTATGTTACAATGAACTTTTTGTCTCTGGCATTTCGACACGGTTGTCCACAATACTGTCAGCTACTGGTCTTCATTCCATGAATCTACGAGAGTCCTTCCTCTCCCATCCTTTCCATAGCTTCAACACCTGTGTATCACTATGCATAACAGGTGCATATCTGTCGGGCACTTTTCAGAGAAGCCTTACGTTGGGATTGAAGGATGACCTTCTCCTTTATCTGGATCTAATGGACTGCTGACTGACACTGAACTCGCATTCACCATCACAAAGCTTGGGCCTAACCAGGGTGATCTAACACACCTATGTCTGTAGATATGTCACGGCCTTCTTGCACTAAGGGACAGTAGACAGCACTTTAGCATCATAACTGGGAGCATTTCAAATATCAAAAATCACAAAAAAACAAGTACAAAGAGCTTGGCTTCATTTTGAAATAGAATAGTGCGTAAAGAACACTTGTGAGCTGGTGGAATGGCTCAGTGGGTAAAGGCACATACCACCAAGCCTAACGACTCTGAGTTTGATCCTTGGAAGCCAGGTGATAGGACAGAACCAATTCCCACAAGCTGTCCTCTGACCTCTACACCCAATATAAATAAAATGTAAAAAACACTTTTTTAAAGAAAAAAGAGACACTTGTACATAGCATCAGAATTCAGACTAGAAAGCAGAGATTTCTTGAGCTTAATCTCTCTGAGAACAGAGGTTTTTCTGACTTTTTGGCTGACTTTCCATCTCTTTCCACATGTCCCCCAAACCAGGAAGGCTTTGTGAGTACCAATCTAGGGTTACAAGTATGTGCTAGTGAGCAGGAATACGGAATCTGTGAGTAATGAGGCTAGCTGTACATGGTAGGAAAACTTCTCAGGCAACTAAGCTAATTTTAGTAGTAACTAGTATCATAAAAGCTTTGTTTATTAAGTCTTTTCTTATAAATGCAAAGCTCATTAGATGTGACATTTGATAAGGCTTATTTGAATAAAAGCAAAGGATGTTTAGTCTCTTTAAAACGGCCCTTTCCCATTCAAAGCAGTGAGTTCAAAAAGCCATACACTGATGCATCTTCAGAAACAAAGTGGCTAACATCTGTGAGAACTCCCATATCCTCCATCAATGGGAAGCAGGCTGGACTTGACCATGGGCAGAGATGGTTTGTTTCACTGAGGAGACCACCTAGCTCTCATCCATTAGATCCGGAAGACAACAGTGTTAATACAAAGGCAGTAATTCACTCTTATTTTACTCTTAGACCCTGAAGGCCATCCATAAGGGGAAACAAAAACCTCTCACAGTCACAGCTGAATTCAAAGTTGGTTTGGCTGTCTAGAGACGAAAGCCTCAGGGTGCTGTGCAAATACATCTAACACTTCCAAAACACACCTGCCCTCTTGTAAGAGCTGTAGTCATGTGTCCTTTCTTCTGTCACCCAGCTTACTACTTAACCTCAGAGATTACTGCTTGTTTCTTAAGTGCTGTTCTCTTAGAGAGATGACAGGCTCCTCGGACAGCCCTGCCAGCACACACATCCTTAGAAATTCCTCCTGTTGCGCCTTGCCAGCCTTCACTTACTTTCCAGCTCACTGATGAGCTGATTATTGTGCAGCTTGACAGCTCGATGCTGTTCCACCTGATCTTCCAATTCAAAAATGGTTTCTTTCATGTCTTTGATTTCTGCGTCGCTCTCTGAAGCTTTCTCTTGTAATTTCAGGCTGGTTCTGCTCAGCTGTTCTGCCTGATGATCACAGACCTCCTTCAGGTAAGAATAATCTTTTTCCATCTAGAGAAAAGAGAACATTGTCAGTTTAACAACAACAAAGCAAAAAACACTTCCCCATGTCTGCAGGAAGACTAGCAGGATACTCTGGCTACTTCTTGCTGTTTTTCAGTCTAAGAACACCCAAGGCTGTAAATGTTAAGAAAGACATGTGTCCAAAGGGCTGAATTCTGTGCCCTGTTTTACAAGCAGAAGAGGGCTCCTAGTATATGCAACTTTCCCTTACCAGGGCAGAACAGGGAATCATGAAAACCTGCAGGACCGCTCTAACCTCACATTCTCTGCAGAGCAGTGCCCTCTGCTGGTGAGATTCAATGTCCCTCATGCCTGAGCCAGAGAAGTCACAACTTTAGAACAAGAGTTTTGTTCCTTTGGAAGAATAAAACAACTTACATGTGACAGAAGACACGCTACATAAAAATCTGAATGTACTGAAAACAGAGACCACCCATTAACTTCACCTGCTCAGTGTTAATTATGCACACAGTAAAAACAAGATAATGATGCGCTCAGACTTAAACAATTAATTTTGCCATATTTGCTAACTATATTTAATTTGCTAAATTAACCTCCTAATTCAATAAAATGTGTTAATGACTCAACCTTTCCTTCAATTTAAGCAAGTAAAAGAGATTGTTCTAAAGTTGGTGTTTCGTCATTCCTTGAAGGGTTTTTCACCCTTATTACATAAGTGTATAAGCCCTTGATAATACATAGGCTTGTTCTAGATATTATAGAAATGTACATAACTGTTTGTATGTGTGTGTGTGTTGATTTGGAGGCACTGCACTGCACTGTGTAATATGCCTTTGTCTTGTTCTAGACAATGTTTATTACACCATTTTAACATAATTTTAAATGTTCATATATGTGGATTGATACACATTACAATAGGTTATTTGTGTGGCGTATGCATTTTCACATGTATGTGGGTGTATGTGGGGGTGAGTGTGTACATGTTGGCACAAATGTACAGAGGTCAGAGTTTGACATCAGTGTTTTCCTTGCTCATTCTCCACCACAGATACTGAGGGAAGATCTGTCACTTGAACCAGAGCTAGCTATGGGAACCCCCGTCTCTACCTCCTGAGCACTCATTATACAGAGGCTACCATGCCTGCCCCGCATTCACCTGGGCACCAGGGGTCCAGATTCTGGCCCTCATGCTTCCACATGCACCCATACATGTGCTCACATGCACAGGAAAATGCACATACCACACACACAAATAACCTGTTGTAGTATGTCCCGATCTGCATATACAAACATTTAAAACTAGGTCAAAATAGTGTAATAAGCATTATCTAGTATATCTTATCATCTCCTGAGCCATCTCCTAGTTGGCCCTAGATTATTTTAATTACTATACACTGGAAATCCACTGCCTGAAAAACACCATTCTATTATTATTTTAAAATGCTATAATAAACACTGCCCCTTTTCTATAGAAATTTAATTGATATTAATAAATAGGCATATATTTTACTAGGCAATATAAGCTTGACATGTAATAGATTTCTACCTTCTTTTTTAAGTTGGGGGGGGTCTTCACATCCAATAATTTTTTTTTCAGTTGCAGTTCTAGGTGGGGACTACAGAACAGGGATCTGGCCTGCTTTACTCACACAGCACACGGCGCCCTCTGCACCTGCACAGCACTAGGCATGGAGAAAGTACCAACTGCGTAGTTGATGAATGAATGAATGACGTACCACAGGCACTCCTGAAGTGTTTTCCACTTGGGAAGGTGGGGTGGACGGATAGGTGAGTGGATGGATGGGAGTAAGAAGAACTACCTCAGGACCATCATGGATCACGGAGCCTGAGTTAAGGGTACACACTGATAGGTAAAAACTGCACTTGAGTTGTAAAAGCATACGGCTCTGCACTGTGCTAAAGTATACCAAAGTGGCTTAGGGCAGAGAATCTGAAGCTAGGCTGCCAGGGCTTAAATTCCAATTCTACAAAATCAAGATTTGTGGGTTTGTCTGTTTGCTTGTCTGTTTAATTTTATGATTGCTATTTGGACAGGGTCTCTTTATGTAGCTCAAGCTGGCTCAGAATGCAAAACTGTTCTGCCTCAGGCCCCTAGTTCTGGGATTATGGCATGGCATACTGTATACAGTTGAACTTTGTGTTCCTTTAATCCCTTTGCCTCAGTTTCCCCATCTGAACAATGGAGACGGTTTGATGGTAATGTACTTACAGTTTATTAGTGCCTGATACAGTTTAACTATGCCTTACATAGTGACCATGCAATGAATGCTATTCCCTTCTGCCGCAATGGCCTTATGTCTTATGTGAATAACCGTGTAATACAGGTCCATTCAAGAGGTGGAGAAGGCAAGTTTTCTAGCTTATCAATGGTTGCTTTATAATACAGAAAAAATGACCTTTTTAAAAAATATCCCTTTTCCCTTTTGTAAAAGATTTACAGATGGTTATGATACACTGTGCAGGTGCTGGGAATCAAACCCAGGTACTCTGGAGGAGCAGTAAGTGCTCTTAACCACTGAGCCACCTTTGCAGCCTGAACCACTACATTTTAGATGCTAGAAAGCTGATGTCTGAAAGGCCAAAGTGGAAGGTAAACTTTGAGTCTTGCGGGCTCATGGCTGGATTCTCAGGCAGAGGCACGACGCCTGGAGGCCAGAAATATACGTGTGACTAGTGGGAAACAGTGTGGGTGCAGAGTAAATCTGGGGACTGTGATGAGGAAAGTGGCTAAGCGTCCTGCCCGGGGCCTCCGAATGCAGTTGAGACTGTTGAGCCTTAGAGGCTCTGGTTTCATTTCCCAAACACTGATACATCATGATCATGAGCAAAGAGTGCCACGCATGGGGCAGGGACAGAAGTGCAGACTGTGAGAGCTGGGGAGCCTGCAAATCAGTCTCCAATGCAGTGGGTCACTTCTTTCTTGATATGAAATACATCCTCCAAGTTTAAGGAAATATGCCAGAGAACTTCGCTGTTTTTTTTTTTTTGGGGGGGGGGAGTTATTTGTTTGTTTGTTTTGAGCCAGTGTCTCTCTCCATATCTACATAGTCCTAGCTGTCCTGGAGGCAAAGCCACCCCCCTCTGCCTCCGGAGGGTAGGGATTAAAGGAGAGTGCCTTATACCCATCCAAAAAATACTTTGTTTTCTAAAAAGCCATCTCATCTCATTGGGACACTCACTAAATCAACAAGAAGATGTTAATTGTTTTCAGGTTATATTTGTTTTATAAATTAATAAACATATATAGAGAAATTATTCAAAAAGAAGAATGTGTCCTGGAGAGATGGTTCAGTAGCTAAGAGCACATACAATTCTTCCAAAGAACCTGAAGTTGGTTTCCAGAATGTAGCTCCAAGGGATCTGATGTTCTATTCTGGCCTCTACAAGTACACAAGTGGCATATCCACACACAAACACAAATAAATGATTTTAGAAAATTCAGCATACCAAGCAGCAGAGAACAAAGTCCTGTAAACGACCACCAGAGTTCTAAGATGCCTTTTTTTGTGATGCTGGGCTTCCTGCTGCCCAGCAAAGCAAACTTTTGAGTTTAGTTTTTCTAATTTGGGAATTCCACTATCAGATACCCAAACATGGGGTTTTGTCTGTTTGGGTTTTTTTGGTTTTTGTTTTTGTTTTTTGGTATTTCCTTTAGAGGGAAAATTACTTCCAAGCACCCCAAGTATCTTTATCTTTAAAAATTAACGTCTTCAGTCATATTCAAAAAAACAGATCAATAAGATTTCTCAGAGAGAGGACATCAAGAGTCCTCCCTGATTCACCAACACTGACCAAACCCAGGAGCAACCTACTCAGCTGTTGTCAGAACAGGCTAGAATATTACCAAGCGTCATCACCTCCAAGCCTGTGACACTGAACTTGAGAAAACAGCACGATTTCAGGTCAGTTTCCTTGGCAATACTTGGAGAAGGGCATGTGCACACAGGAAGTATCTTGAGGAGTGCTCCTGGTCCTCACTGTGAGAGAGCCATCAAGGCAGGACTGGCAGAGCGGCAGAGCAGTGAAGCTCTCTCACAGAGGCATACATGACCCTCAGGGAGAGGCCCACACCAAGCATTCCTTTCATGCTGCCCCAGCTGCAAAGGCCCTGGTCTTTATTTTCCCAGTGCATTAGCCATGTGAAGCGCCACCCAGGGAAGGCCATCTTGGAAAGGGCTCCAGTTAGGTGCTGTCAGCTACCATTGCTCCCCAACAGCTGGAGTAGAAAAGAGTGCTTTGGTCGGGGAAGCCCTGAGCGCAGATATTAGAGGGTTGTGCCACAGTGTACATATCTGCAGCCTCTCCTACAGGAGAAGCGTGAATAACTGGCTGTGAGGGCTTTACCACTGGGTGACTAGATGATAGGGAATAACAACTTCTGTAAGATAAATCCACACAATCTTTTTTAGTTTGTTATGATGAACAACAATACAAAGGATATCAAGCTACATATCAACTATGAACCAAGGCTTTATCATAACACAAACTAGCCCCAAGGCAGAGAATGCTGACTAAAGCAAATAAGGAAACAAACTTATAGACAATACAACAATATCACCAATACATGAGGAGGCAAAATCCAGTACATTAAAACTAAAAGCATGGTGTGAGGTGAAAATGGAGTCTAAATATTTTAGTTTGTAGCTATGTTTAGTAGTTTCTGATGGCAAAGATAGCATCTTGGAAAATAAGGCCCTGCCTCTGAGAAATCATTTCATCTTCTATTCAAATAGTCACACACCAATAACAAAGACCAGGGCAAGCATAGAGCTAGGTAGCTGCAATAAATTCTGAATGAATTTCAGCAACACTGAAGTCTCATCGCACACTCTGCCAGAATGAGCACAGGGAGGAAGTACTGCCCCGAGGAAGAAGCTTGCCTTGTAAAGCTGCTGCTTCTTGTGTCAAGATGTTAGCGTGTAGGCTTTATTTTGGCAGCGCTGAGGATGAACCCAAGGCGTTGCATATGTCAGACAAGTGCCCTACCACTGTGCAATATGCCCAGC